TTCAACCCTCCGGAAGACTGTTGGGCCGACCTTCCTTGCAATTCGGCATTAGGGACGGTCGGGGCAGATTGCTTGAACTGACTCTTTAAGTGCCTTTGCACCAGTTTGTTGACTTTCCCACTAGGTATATGGACAACCAAATACCGTCTACTTTGGATTTGGTTTTCGCTAAGTCCCTGGACTTCGTGACTGACGTTTCACACGGTGCACTACTAGGGTCCAGCCATTTCGCATGCATATACTTTCGATGTGTTATCTTAAGGCACCAATAGGCCGCTGTTGAATTGCCTCCGAATATTTGGCGGGCGGACTTTAGTGCAATGCGAACTAAGGCTTCAGTTCTGAACTGTGAGATCTTGATGGCTGACTCTGTCCAGTTAGCCTGGGATAAATTTAAGGCATACCTTACGGAGGTTTCCACTCCCTGTATCCTACCCATTAGGAAAAGAGGTTTAAGGGCACAGGCTCCATGGCTGCAATACGCTCCAATTTTTGAACTCGCAACATCTGCCTGTCCCATAATATCAAGCTCATTACCGACACCTTTGTTTAAAAATGTTATTTTCAACCCATCAATTGTGCTAAGGAAGTTACTCTCACTGCGTGAACATAGTTCTCCGGGATCAGACAACATCCGCCCGAAGGCACTGAAAGCTGTGGCCACCAAGCTAGCTGAACCACTGTCACAGTTCTTTCAAAGGTGCTTTGATGAACAACAAGTCCCTACTTTGTGGAAGTGTGGCATTATAACCCCTATCTTTAAAGGCGGTAGCCGTTCCGATCCTGCAAACTATCGTCCAGTGACTCTCCTCCCTGTGCTCGCGAAGGTGATGGAAGCAGTCGTCTCTGAGGCTTTAATGGACCACCTAGAAATATGCAACATCATGGTACCGGAACAGCATGGCTACCGTCAACACCGGTCATGCACCACCAACCTACTGATTGCACGAGGTAGTTGGACCGAAGTGGCCGATGATGGGTTCGGAGTCGACGTCATCTATCTGGACTTTTCCAAAGCTTTCGACCGCCTCGATCACCGCATCCTACTTCAACGGCTTCAGAGTTACGGAATCGGAGATCCTGTACTTGGTTGGATTGGCAACTTCCTTTACCAACGAAAGCTCCAAGTACGTGTTAGGGGATCACTTTCCAGCCCAATTGAGGTGGAATGTGGGGTCCCGCAAGGCTCAGTGCTGGGACCGCGCTTATTCCTGGTGTTTATCAACGACCTGGCAAGAGTCATCTCCTCAAACTTCCTGCTTTTCGCAGATGCCGTCAAAATATGGCGGGCGGTTAGTAACAAGGCAGATCAGGATCTGCTCCAATATGACCTAGATTGCATTTATGAATGGTCAAAGAGGAACAAGCTTCAATTGAACATGGCTAAGTGCAAAGTGATGCATCTGCGTCACCATCTGGTGAGCGCTTACAAGATGGAAGACTACACCTTGGCGAAGGTTCCTCAGGAGCGGGACCTGGGTGTATTTGTACAGGAAGATCTCGGGTGTTCCAAACAAGCAGAGAAGGCGAGGAGAACCGGAAACCTACACTTCGGCCTTCTTCGCAGAGCCTTCGGTCGGTTTGAACCATCAATATTTCCCTAAACGCTTAACGCCTACATGCGACCTCACGCGGAATATGCTATTCAGGCGTGGCAGCCGTGGCAGAAACAGGATCTCGTTGCTCTCGAGACTCCTCAACGATGGGCAACCAAGAACGTCAGGGGCCTCTTTCACCTGCCCTATCAGCTTAGACTGAAATCTCTAAGAATGTAGAGCAGTCGATATCGGCTTTTGCGGGATGATCTCATAATGGTTTACCAGATTCTGAAGAACCCAAACCACATTTGCCGTCCGCTGCTGGAATTGAACCCCAACACTAAACTAAGAGGTCACCCTCTGAAACTGACAATTCATTATAGCCGGCTTGAATGCCGTAGAAATTTCTTTTCTCTCCGCGTGTGTGAGCCTTGGAATGCCCTCCCTAATTATGTCGTCTCTGCCCCCAAACTGGCGATATTTAAAAATCGTGGTGACGATGCATTATCTCACTTACATTTCATTTTGTGACTCGTTAGCCAGGGGCTACAAAACGCTATCAAGCGGTTTCTGGCCAAACGCCTAACCAATGGAATTATTGATTTATACGTTTAATACGCGAACATCTCCGCTATTTCACATAAGTCTATGGTGAGTCCATCACAACAATTTTCACTTTATTATGCAATATATTTTGGCAATTATTTCCATCTTACGGGACTTGTTAAGCGATGCTTTTTTACCCGTAATAAACCATTGTCCATTGTCTATTGTCCACAGGCAAGTACTTACTCAAGGAACGGTCTAGATGCTGGCGGACCTACCAAGCAGTTCCATCAGCCAGTACCTATGATAGTTATTGAGAGATTAGAAATCAATATAAGCAACATCTCAGAATTGCTCGTCTCCAGTACGAGCAGGGTTTGGCGGACTCGGAGGCAGCTTATCCCAAGAAGCGTTTTGCTTACGCTAAAAGACGCAGCGGGGCAAAGCTGTCTATGCCAGCTTTATTGCGAGTAGACGGGACCCGTGCGCGTACTGACTATGAAAATGCTTGTATACTGAGTGATCAGTATACTGCGGTCTTTGCTCAGGAGACCTCTTTAACACAAGTTGAATTGGTTTCAACTGTTCCAGAGGATTCTTGCTTAGCTAAATTTAGCATAATGGAGACGCAGTTCTTGGAGCTATTGTAAGGCATTCACCCTCTAAAGCTTCCGGTCCAGCTTCAATTGATCCGAAGCTGTTGCATGAATTGGCCACTAAGCTGAGTGGTTCTCGTAAAGGTGTGTTTTCAATATCGCTGGACAGCTGCATACTACCTTCGGAATGGAAGGAAGCAATCATCTGTCCGATTTGTAAGAGCGGTGACAGCGCTCCATCCGCGAACTACCGGCCTGTCAGTTTCACAAGCGTAGTAGTCAAGTTGTTTGAAAAGCTGATAAGGGATTCAGTGGAGAACCACCTGAATAGATTCAATATTCTCAGTGATGCGCAATTTGGATTCCGCTAAGGACATTTTTGTCAGCCTAATCTACTTGTAGCTCGTGAAGGCTGGGCCAAAGCAGTAGACAGTGGCCACGCTGTAGACGTGCTATTCGTAGATTTTTCGAAAGCTATTGACACTGTCCCACATCTTCGGCTTTTACTAAACATGTGATTTTACGGGAAATCTGGTCGCGCCCTTCAATGGGTGTCTGACTTCCTTGTTGGGAGGAAACAGTGCGTACGGGTGAGGCGTAGCCTTTCGCTCAGGCAACCTGTCCTTAGTGGCGTTCCGCGAGGCTCGGTATTGGGGCCATTGTTTTTCGCCATCTATGTAAATGACTTGCCGGGAAAGCTTGGATTGTCAGCACTAAAATTTGCTGACGACCTTAAGCTCTGGAATACTATGATTATCCCAGAGGGTCTTGAAGCTATTCAGCATGCCTTAGCTAGGCTCTGGGGATGGTCTACCTTATGTTTGAAGACAATAATGGGGTCAAGTGCTTTGTTCTCCGAATCGCTGCTGTTAATCCGCCCACCCGATATGTTGTCGGCGATGGTAAACGCCCTGTTGTCACTCAGCAGGTTGATTTGGGAGTCGTACACGCAGCAGCACTTCATTCTATAGACAACTAGAAGAAGGCTGCTTGTCGAAAGGTTCCGTATGATGTGGTTTATCCGCCGCTCTTGCAGGATCTTAACGGCCAATCTGTTTGTGAAGCTGTTTTCGGCATTCCCCCGACCCTAACTGGGATATTGTATTCAGGCTTGTTCAGACAAAATGGACTTGGCGAGGGTGTTCCGAGTGGGCACTCGCCTAGACAGGGTCTACGGGGACAGACGTAACCTGAACGCGTGCTCAGTTTGGGTATGTACTCCATGCACTACGGAAGGATAAGAGGGGAGCTGGTTCGAACTTATCGTATGTTGACGGGTAAGATTGGCCCGGACTTGTCAGAGCCGTTTAGTCCCGCTACGTTACCTAATCTCCGCGGTCACCCACTGAAACTGCATAAACCACGACCTGATAGTATTAGGACGGAAAGTCGTATGTCGTCGTGTGTCCGACAATTCTTCTTCACTTCTTCATTTCCTCACTTTTTCTTCTGCCGCGGTTCGGATGGCACAATGTCTGTTAACAGACTGTGAATATATATATATATATATATATATATATATATATATATATATATACCAACATCCAGGATATTAGTGTTAGACGTGCAAAATACGTACCGCACAAAAAGCAACAAATAATAAAGTAGGGAGCTTCCTTTGTCATTTTGAGTCGTGCTTGCGTCATGATTGATTTACGCTTACCAAACAATCCGTCAAATTTGTCGTAAGACACCAAATCATGGATCAAACACTGATAAAGTAAATTTACACAAGCCAGTGGACATAATAATACACACACACAAGACAAAATGTTAATAATTTTATACGATGCAACCGTAAACATGTTCAAATGGTACCAAGGCTCGTATTTTATACTTTTAATACATAAGTTACAGTAACTTTTAAGTGATACACTTGAGCGCAGTCCATAAAATATTACGTCGTAGTTTACAGGGCAAGCTGAACTCACAGGGTTACTGGAGGTCGTCTAGTGGCCTGCATCTGGTAAAGTTAAGATGGGTTAATAGAACATTTGTGGCAAAGCAGTGCAAGTAATAACTAGACTAAAAATAATTAAAAAACTGCAGAAGTACCAATAAAATCACACCTATAAAAATTTAGTACTCTAGTGAAATTTCTGTATTAAAAATATATGACCACAACAAACGCTCGTTTAGATGCAAACAAATCGTGATTTGTTATTTTTTTGTAACCTTATAACCGCTATAACAAATCCTACTTTACCCAATCACGCTTGCTCCATCTGGACCCTCACTAGGTCCGTCAATTGAGCGCTCTGGATGTTACTATGGTCATCGCTATGTGGAGGAGATAATAACAAAGGAAAATGTTCACACAATGCAATACAGCAGAGTAAACGGGTGGTCGATTCCACTTCATCCTTTGCAAGGACTGGCTTGGATCGCTTTCGTTATTTTCGTGCTCGAATATTATGGCGTCCTGACACCCACAACCATGGAAATAGAGTATTACTTTTTGGTAGGCGTATCCTTTACATTTTACACATTGATTGGCGTGTTAGGTTGCTGCTTATAGTATGTTGGATGTGACCTTTGCTACATTTATTTTTGATTATGTGCAATTAATATTTTATGTAATTCTGATCATGAGCGCACTGAATGCTTGCTTAACATATTCTACGCGACAGTTGTGTTCGTACATACACACAGATGATTTTGCTTCGACCTTTAACCCAAATCATAGGAGAGCTCTCTCATTTAACGTTGTTTCTCTGCCATTATTGAATGACAATTTCTAAAGTTTACATTATCATTGGTTCATTGGAATGTAAAGAGCAGAAGGAAATATCCTTTGTCAGCTCTATCGCTTCCCATTCGTCACATGGATCAAGTTGGACATTGCAAGTCGGTACCAGTGGAACCTGTGCATTGACACAAGCACCAACAAGGTCCGAGTTTACACAGCGGGTACGAATCTAATCGATGTTTGAAACATTCATCCAACTGCGCATCAACTACATACACAGTAGGATTGTTCCACCCGTTCACTACTATAATCGGAAGCGTGCATACTTCCAACAGACCCAAAATCTTCAGGTTTACACAATTTCTAATAATGACCCCATTAGAACTAAAGGAATTATATAGTAAGAAAACTTGCAGTTCAGCGCCAGTATTAACTTTTTCATTGATTCCCTTGAGTTGTAGAAAGCACGAGGGAAATCCCTTGTCAGCTCCATCGATTGCGTATCATACTGGGTTTGATGCGTGCCGTTGCATTACGACGTTCATCGAGGGTTCTTCGCAATTGCAGTGACAGCCGCAAGATTCCAGCATTCTCAAAGAACGTTTTCTTAGCAGTCGCTTAAAAGTTTCATCGGATAGCGCGTCTGCAATTTCTTCCGGAAGGATGTTCCAATCGTTCACCACTCTAGTGGATAGGGTGACGTCAATGCGAATTCTGTGTATTCTTTGCTTAAATACTTTCCATGTGTGAGCTCGTGTGGAACAGTCAGTTTTGGGTTATAACTCACTCTCAAGTTCCCCTCGGAGGATGTGCCTAGTGTAGTTGAGATCACCCCGGCGACGGCGGAGCTCGAGGGAGAACATATTTAGCTGCTAGAGTCGAATGGGGTACAGGAGATAACGAAGCCCCAGAACAGCTTTCGATGCACGTGCCTGAACCTTTTCCAGCAGAGCGCATTCAAACTTTGAAAGCGGATGGCTAGCTGGACGGCCATATTATAAAACCGGGCGGACGTACGAAGTGAACAAAGGTCGAAAAGCCTCAGGAGTCATTCGATCGAATGGTCTTCTTAAGGCATCCACCAGTCTCCCTTCAGTGGCCACCTTCTACAACGTGTCCTGCGTCGTTCTAAGGTCAGGAGTCACGATAACTCCGATATCTCTCTCGTGGGTGGTATTCCTGAGTGGAACCCCACCAATGTGGTATGCACCGTATTGTTCACTGCTATCCATTGAGAGAACAGCGCATTTATTTCGGTTTACTGGCAGTTCCCACTTGATAGACCATTCACGTAGCTGGTCTAGAGCCCCTTGTAATCTGTCCGCATCCTCAGTGCTGAATACTGTTGACCATAGCTTGAGGTCATCGGCGTAGATCAAGCAGTCGGTTTGAAGTGCAGTGGGCAGATCGTTAATGTACAGTTTGAAGAGCTCCGGTCCAAGTACTGATCCTTGGGGAATGACACTAGTCATAGGCACTGGAGCAGAGAGGGTTTGATTCACTTGCACGCGCATTGTCCTACCTCTTAAGAAATCGGCAATCCAGGAGAGAAGATTTCCTGTAATGCCAATTCCCTGGAGTTTAGATAGTAGGCGTACGTGTGGAACCTTATCAAAGGCTTTGCTGAAGTCATTGAATATTACGTCAACCTGTTTTCGGGCATCTATGGCTTCTGCGCATGTTTCCCTGGCGAGGAGTAAGTTAGAGATGCATGAGCGTGCTCTCCGGAAGCCTTTTGAGCAGGTGAAGTAAGGTTAAGATTTGCACAGTGTAGCTGGAAGGCGCACTTGACTATTCGTCCCATGATTTTGCACACGACAGAGGTCAGACATATTGGCCGGTAGTTGGCTGGACCTTGTTGGTTTCCCCCCTTGTATTTGGGCAGGACGGTACCTGCTTCCCAGCCTGTGGGTAGGCAGCCGACTTCGAGGGATTGCCGAAACACTTGACAGAGGGGCGGCGACGTACTCAGCTATCGCTCTGAGGAAGCTGGGATGCAATCCGTCCGGGCCTGGGGAGGAATTCGGGTCCAGTCCGAAGAGTAGCTTAGTGACTACTTCGGGGTTAATTTCAACTTGATCCATAGAGGAGTAGTGTGCAGGCAAACAGTTGTTGAGCAGTGGTGACTCCACTGAGTAGACCGAGGAATATTGTGCAGCCAATAGGTTTGCTTTTTTCACCATCACCGTAGAGAACGGTACCTTCCTTAGAAGAGGATAGAGCGGGGATTCCACTACCAGTTTTGGCATTTCATTTCAAGTAGACAAAAAGTTTCTTGGGACAGTTTTGGGATTCCATGGCCAGTCCATGTGCATATTGTGATTTTTTGTCTCGTTTTCTCAGCGTGCAAAGGTTTCTAACAGTTTTGTACTCTAAGTAACTTGATGTCAGTCCTGTGCTCTTGAAATGATCCCATAGTTTTCATCGTTTTTTCCCTAGGGATCTTACTTCTTTATCAATCCATGTGGTCCTTTGGAGGGCGGTCTGCTCTTGCAATTTGGAACAAACTGTTCAATAAGCCACATCATCATAGATCTCAGGCGTTCCCATGCGTCATCAAGCTCCAAAGATTGTGGAATGCGCCAGTCTATGTTACTTGCAGCAGTTCTTAATCGGGGCTGGTCAGTGCACCAGAAATTTCGACGCAGTATCCCCTGCTCGTGGATTGTGAGGCCTTCGTGTCCACGAAAACGAGACTGTACAGTGATCACTCTTCCCAAGAGGTTAAAGAATCGTAAGATTTGAGACATCAGATGGTGCCGAAGTGAGAACCAGATGGAGAATGTTTGGTGTCTGACCAGGGACTATCCGTGTTGGTGTCAAGACATGCTGTGTCAGGTTGCACTCGTGAACGGTATCAAGGAGATCAAAGGAGTCAGGTGAGAGATCCCTGTGAAGAAGATCCCAGGTTATGTCGGGGCGTTTAAGTCCCCCATAAGGAGACAGTTTGTTCCTCTGCTGTGGGTTCGCACGGAACGTAATAGGTATGAGCCAGGTGCTGCAGGGGCTCTGTAGACCACCCTGACCATCAGCGATTGGTATCCGTCATGAATTCGACACCAGAGCATTTCCGACATATCATCCTTGTGATAAAGAAAGGAAACAGCAAGGTATGTATTGGTGCTGACTTTTCAACCGACTTAAATTCCATGTTAGAGAAACACCAGTACCCTTTGCTTATACCTGAAGATTTGTTCACCAAACTTAACGGTGGGAAATGGTTTGCGAAACTCGACCTAGCTGATGCTTACTTACAAGTTCTAGTAGCCGAGAACTGCAGAACACTACTGACGTTCAACACGCATCTGGGTCTTTTCCAGTACAATCGGTTGCCATTCGGCGTGAAGACTGCTCCCGCCATTTTTCAACAAATCATCGATACGATGCTGAACGATATCCCTGGGGTCGCAGTATACCTGGATGACGCATTGATTATGGGGTCTGACTCACAAGCATTGCTGGCCACTTTAAAGAAAGTGTTCACTCTTCTATAAGAAGCTGGCTTCCGGTTACGAGCGGAAAAATGCGCTTTCCTGATGGAAAGTGTCAAGTTTCTCGGGTTCATCATTGCCAAACATGGCCGACGTCCGGATCCCGCTAATAGCAAAGCCGTCAAGCAAATGTCACCGCCAAGGAATGTTGCCGAAGTTTGTTCATTTCTCGGTCTTATAAGTCGTTATATTGTCTTCCTGGCAAGTTTACATCAGCCAAGTGGTTCTCTGAACGAGTTGCTGATGAAAGGGAAAGAATGGCGATGGAAAAAGGAGTGTCAACAATCCTTTGATATAGTTAAAGCAGCGCTCAGTTCTGATTTACTTTTGACCTACTTCAACCCAAACTTGGAGATTGTTGTTGCTTCGAACACCTCTAATTATGGAATAGGTGCTGTCATTTCTCACGTGTTCTCAGGAGGGGAAGAGAAGGCCACTGTGCACGCAGCACGGTCGCTGACAGTGGCGGAGAAAAATTATAGTCAGATTGAGAAGGAAGCACTGGCGATGTTTTCGCAGTGAAACGGTTTCATGAAATACTATAGGGTAGACGTTTCAAACTGATCACGGACTACAAACCTCTACTCTTCATAGTTGGATTAAAGAAGGGTATTCCTGTTTTTACAGCAAGTCGGTTACAGAGATGGGCAACCGTACCGCTGGCTTACAATTTAAGTACACAATATCGATCTACACAACAAATCGGCCAAGCTGACGCTTTATCTAGCCTCCTAAGTTCCCACTTGAAGGAAAACCATGACTACGTGATTACATCTGTCAAATTCGAGTCGGAAGTTCAGCGCATCCTGGTTGACAGTGTAAGGGAGTTGCCAGTAACGTCGGACACGACTCGTGCAGAGACGGCTCAAGACAATATCTTGCTGAAAGTGATCGGGTTTGTGCAGTCCAGTTGGCCTAATGTCAGAATTTTGAATGAGTTACAACCTTTCTTTAATCGATGCGGATCCCTTTCAGTCGTTGACAATTGTCTACTGTTTGGAGACCGAGTCGTGGTACCAAGGAAGTTTCGGAAGAGAATACTACAGCAGTTTCATTCAGGACATCCGGGAACCAGCCGAATGAAGGCACTGGCGCGAAGTTTTGTGTATTGGCCTCAAATGGACGCAGAAATCGAGCAGTTCTGCCAAAGTTGTGGATCTTGTCAACAAGTGACAAAGGCACCTCCTAGATGTTCGTGGCACCCTTGGCCCGAGTCGAAGAAGCCCTGGCAGAGAACGCACTTGGATTATGCGGGACCAATCAAACATTAAACTTATTTGCTTTCTG